GTCCACTTTGTGTATCCGGCCCAGGGCCTGCCTCAGTTACATGCAATGAAAGGCAGCCTGGGCTTGGGCGCTTCCAACCAACTGGCACTGCGCAACTGCCTGAATTTCCCCAGTTGCGTGGTGACCCCAAAATGGCCTGTAGGCCTCGGTCGTGCCTGCCTTCACTAAGGGCGGCCGACTGTGTGGAAAATAGGCCCTGTAGGGCATATCGAGGCCCTGTGCCTCACACTCCCAAACCCCTTCATTTCATCTCAGGGTTAGGGTTCTCAAGCAACTGAATGGACTTCGAAAATTTTGAGTCCGACAGAGTTTATGCTTTCTAGCTCTTGATAACCTCATGAACCTATGTCCAAAGGTTTAGGGCATTGTTGTTTGTGCATGACGAGCGTGGCAAGTGCTCATCATGCACACGTCATACTCGTCATGCAAAAAGTGCAGAAACCTTATGAAAAAAAATAATCCAACTTGATGTAGACTGTTATTTTGAGCAACCTCTGGCTGGGACGTTACCTCGAAATCCTTCTTCGTTGACTTGATTAGAAAATTCGAAAACAAAAATTTATTCTCTTTTGAAAATTTTCCAGTTGTGAATTTTGTTTTGAATTTTTATTTTTCAGAGAAGCTCACGGGTGGATATCGACAGGTTCAGAGAGAGAGAGAGAAGGGCAGTCGATCCCAACGGAAGGCGGGTGGCAGCGGGGAAGGTAGTTGGCGGGAGGCAGTGGTTCAAGTGGCCAGTTCGCAGCAAAAGTGGCCAATAGTGGAAGACACAGGTTAGTCGAACTTAGTCCATTTGCGCGTGTGTTGGTAGTGGGGGGCCAGTTTCCCAAGCTTGGCTTTGACTGGCAATCTAGGCTGTGCAACGGCAGACAGCCCAGATGCACAGCTGGTTTGTGAAATTTGGCCAGCAATCTGGGCCATGTGCCAGAGGATGGACCAGATCCACCGTTGCTCAGTAAAAAAAATAAGACCTGCCCTGCATCTGTGCAATCCTTGCGGACATACAGCCAGGTCACTTCTAATGAAAAGCCACAGATTCGAGCCATTCTCCGCTGCTGGGTCAAGATCCCCGGTTACAACGTTCAGGTAGTTTTATACCGGGAGGGATATAGCACTATACCAGGAGGGAAATAGCACTACTAGGGCTTGACTCTCACAATCTCTGGCTTACGAAATAGGAATTGGTCCCTTGAAGGGTGCCAGGGTTCCAACTTAAGGGATGAGGGTGACCAAAGCGTCCCTCAGATGGGGTTTTGGGTGGGGCAGGGGGATTAAAAGGGCTTGGATTTCAGAATCCTAAGGGATGAGGGTGTACGTTTCCATGGTCTGGGAGAGGTTTAGAGGTTAAGGGTACGCAGTGTTTGGAGTACAGAATTGCGGGTTTGGAGCATAGAACTTGGGGTGTTGCCTTCGGGGTGTGCAGTTAAGGGTGTCCAGTTTGCACACTAGAGGTTGGGTGTAGGATTTGCAAGCAGGACTTGTTCGACGCGCTGGATTTGAGATCTTCCGTATAGGCTTTGGGGTGTCCAGTTCGTGATGTACTGTTCGCAGACTAGGGTTCGAGGTCCAGGGTCTAGGTGCTGTGTGGAGTTCAGAATGTACAGTCTTTGCAGTTCGAAGGCTTGAGCTATAGTGATACATGCTCGATCGAGCAATGCATACCGAGCCAAGGATCCGCAAAATGATGAAAACGACTCGAATGGACAATGCAACATCAACGCAGCATCAGCAAGCGATGTGCATCCAGATACATACGAAAATAGCACAATGTAGCGCAGCGGAAGACTCAAAGATATGACCTGACCTGTCAGATACTGACGCGACTCAACCATCACATATCACACATGTGAGAGGGGGGAGGGACCGAACATGGAAGAAAAGGTTCCTCCTTGCACACACACATGGGGAGATACCAGTGACGCGACTCAACCA